ACAGGACCTCTCGCCCAGAGGCGTCTTTGTCAATTACGGTTCGGTTGGGTCATAGCCGGGCGCCTTGTGGGGAAGGCCGAGCTGAGAAGGAAACGAGGGAAATGAGGAGGAGGAGGGGGGGAGGAGAAGGAGGAGGAGGAGGAGGAGGAGGAGGAGGAGCAGGAGGAGGAGGAGGAGGAGGAGAGCGAGGAAGAACAGGAGGAGAACGAGGAGCAAAAACATCAGCAGGAGGAGGGTCAGGAGGAGCAAGAGGAGAATGAACTGGAACCGCCGGAAGCAACTGGGAAACTCCAGTGTACGCGGCGGAACGTAAGAACCAATTGGAGCCTATAGCGCGATATTGCTGGAAGAGACTATGCAACTTGAAGCAGCAGTGCTCACCAGCCCGGTGACGATCCTGAATTATCCTGTGGGGTCTAAGGTTGGTAGTGCATACGCTGTCGCGTCGCCGGAGCACTATGTTCGTACGAGCGTTTCGCAGTGGACGCTCACAGGGGCCGGGCTCGCATCCCGAAGAGGCGCGGCCAACTAGCGGCCGTGTGCGACGCAGAACAGCTGCAGAACATTGCCAGGCACGCCACTGGCCAAGTCCAAGCCGGCGATGAGATCGTAGTCGGCGCCTGCAGTTTTGAACATCCGGCCTAATGTGGAGCGATGGTGTCTGCCAGTCCCCGAGGAGTAATTAGCGCGAGTTTACTGAGGGAGGCAGGGGCCAAAGGCCAGACGATGAGCAAGAAGTGCTGCTGGCAGCTCGCGGAGCTGTGTCTGCTGGCAGATCATCCAAACTCGCTCGACCGAGCCGGCATTTCTGCTGTCAAAGGGAAGGGTGCCGCGGAGAATCGAGGAGAAGAAACGACTTATCAAGGGGGCCATCATGGCAAGTTCATCTATGTAGTTTCGGTGTTGTTGGCTGGGTCAGTACATTGGACGGTATCTAGTAGGAACAATGATGAGTTCGGACTTGCTTTCGAGCTCAGCGGAGGACGGGCGCGAGAGATGCAAAGGTTGAGACAAACGCTTCGTGAGTTGGCGACGCGCGTGGCGCTTGCCGAAATGAAAGTCTACGCTTCTGAGCTGACCATCGAACAGACCAGCAGGACGAAAAAGGCTCGCGGCGTGCAGAAGAACGATGACAACGACTGACGCAGAATGAGACGATCAGTCAGGCGAGCCTAGGGCCTCCCAGAGAGTGCGGTTCACTCCTGGAGTGTGCGAGTTGGCCAGGAGATCTGCAGGGCCTCCTGAGAGAAAGAGAGAGAGAGAGAGAGACAGAGAGAGAGAGAGAGAGGGAGAGAAAGAAAAAGACAGAGAGAGAGAGAGAGAGACAGATAGTAGAACCACGCACTGTCTGTCGCAGGCCTAGCTATTTGTGCGCTTGCAAAATCGCGCGCGTTTGCCGCCTCTCGAACCCCGACCTTTCTGGCTGTAGCGCAAAGCGAAGCGGAGCTGACCGGACGGGGGCCGCTGCCTGCATCGGCCGTTGCAGGATTGGGCGCGCGGCGTTGGCCTGCGTTCGAGACTTGCGGCTGCCGCGGCCCGCGGGCAGTCGGCCCAGAGCTGCGGGCTCGGTGCTCGGCGAAGGTGCCTTTGAGCCTGTGGCGCCCGGCGGGTTCGGAAAGGACGGATGGCCACTTGCCTCCGCCATAGTGCCCCTTTCCGCGCGAGCTTCGTCGCGCGCCGCGGTGACAAAAGTATTGCGGCGGAAGACGAGGAGTGAGCTCGCCTTCTCTCGCGCCAGGACTGGCGCGCCCCCATGTGGATTGCGAGTTTTTGTGCTCCCCGTCGTTCCGAGATGGGGCCATAAGTAGTGACAGTCGTAAGGGTATTTGCGTGTATGTACAAGTATTCACATGCGCGTAGCCTGCGTCTGACACGTGCGCGCATGTTTTAAGAGACTGCGATCACATTGGCGCATGCACGTGCGCGTGCGACCGCCGCATGTAGGCTCCAGCCCGAAACTGCGGATGTCGGCGCGCATTGGCTGATGTTAAGAGGATCGCATCATCGATAATGTAGATCTCGGTAAGAAGGGGACCCCTTATGAGCCCCGATGCCCTCGAGATCGGGTAGGGTAGTCCTAAATCACAAAGTCGGTGTGATTTCATTCTGTCCAGGGATACGTGCTGCATCATCTAGATGGCCTAGGAGGAACATGTAGGTGTCAAGTTAGGTAACGTCGATCACACGCGTTGCAGGAGGAGGAGGAGGAGGAGGAGGAGGACCAGGAGCAGGGGGAACATGAGGAAGAGGAAATAGGCCACTGCAAACCCAAGACGCATTAGCGATGTTGCAAGAAACTCTCCGCCCGAGTTTCCTTTCCATAGTTTCCCACGAGGTTCTAATTTAATCATGGCCCCACATCGGAAACAGCAACCGTCTGCGAATCCTCAATCGCGCCAAACGCCGTCCCTGGGGTTTCAACGCTGCGAATCAACGTGACTGCTGCGTCCTCATAATATTTCATCTTGCAAGAAACCATGTCTGGGGCTCTTCCACCGCGAATCAAAATGACTGCTGCGTCCTGAAAGTCTTAAGTCGTTCTTATAAACGGTTCCTGGGGCTTCAACCATGCGAACCCTTGGAAGTGCAGAACAACTCTACAAAGAACGTGTGCGGCGCTAAGGCGATATCCGCATTAAATTCGCCCGTTGAAGGGCCCAGCTGTATGCAGCTGTGAGCAGCGTTGTTGTATGCACCGCATGTGGAGGAGCTCCCACGGAACGTGTGAGGCGTATTCCAACATGGATGCGGTGGGCGCATGCGGACGCAGTCGCTGAGGCCTTTGATCGAGCTCCCTATGGGTCCGCGAGGCGTGCGAGGGGTGTGCCAACATGGGTGCGGTGGGCGCACGCGAACGCAACCACTGGGGCCGTCGGTGGACCTCCTTATGGGGACACGAAGCGTGTGTGGGGTGTGCCAACATGGGTTCGGTGGGCGCATGCGGGCGCAGCCAACGGGGCCGTTGGTGGAGCTCCCTTTTGGGCCCCGAAGCGTGGGAGGGGTGTACCAACATGTGTACGGTTGGCGCATGCAGACGCAGCCAATGGGCCGTCGGTGGAGCTCCTTCTGGGGCCGCGAAACGTGTAAGCGGTGTGCCAAAATTGTCGCGTTGGGCGCATACGAACGCAGCCAGTGGGACCGTCGGTGGAACTCCCTCTGGGGCCACGAAGCGTGTGATGGGTGTGCCAAAATGGGTGCGGTGGGCGCATGCGAACGCAGCTAGTGGGGCCGTCGGTGGAGCTTTTTATGGGGCCACGAAGCGTGTGAGGGGTGTGCCAACATGGGTGCGGTGGGCGCGTGCGAACGCAGTCAAAGGGGCCGTCGGTGGAACTCCCGATGGGGCCACGAAGCGTGTGAAAGGTGTGCCAAAATGAATGTGGTGGGCGCGTGTGAACGCTGGCATTTGGGCCTTCGGTGGGGTTCCCCATGGGGCCACGAAGCGTGTGATGGGGTGTGCGAACATGAGTGCGGTGCGCGCCTGTGGGCGCTGCCATTGGGGCCGTATGTGGAGCTCCCTATGGGGCCACGAAGCGTGTGATGGGGTGTGCGAACGTGGGTGCGGTGGGCGCATGCGGGCGTTGCCGTCGGGGCCGTATGTAGAGCTCCCTATGGGGCCACGGAACGTGTGAGTGGCATGCCAAAATGGGTGCGGTGGGCGCATGCGAACGCAGTCACTGGGGCCGTCGGTGGAGCTCGCCAAAGCCGGTATCGTGGGCGCATGCGAGCGCTGGCCTCTGGGCCTTCGGTGGAGCTCCCGATGGGGCCACGAAGCGTGTGAGGGGTGTGCTGGAACAAAGACACGCAAAGGTGAGGGGCAAGGATGGGAGGAGGAGGGAGGAGAGGGACGACGGAGGCGGGATCGCGGGCACTGTTTCTTCAAAGCAAAGACCCAGCACCACAGGATGGTTGGGGAAGAGAGCCGCCCTCCATCCTTGAAGCGGTCGCAGACTTCTGAAGCGAATGTGCGCGGCGCTAGTGCGAGAACAACATCCACCGATCATCTATCCTGGAAGCCGCAAGTTGTTTTGAGACGAATGTGCGCGGAGCTCGGGCGAGGGCCACAATTTGAAACCACCCGCCCTCCACTCTTGAAGCTGTCGCGACCTTTTCAGACGAATGTGCGCGGCGATAAAGCGATGGCCACGTTTTGAACATGACCCGCCTTCCATGCGTGAAGCGGTTGTAAATTCCAAGCTCCAGGATCATACATGATGAGGAGGTTTCAGGCGGAACGCCCAGCCCGCTCTACCCACACGTCTCGGGGTGCGACAGGGAGGAGTGCTTCGTAAGGATACGGGATGGAGGATAAGGATGAGGATGAGGATGATGATGATGCTGATGCTAGTGGTGATGATGCTGCTGCTGAGGTTGTTGTTGTTGTTGCTGTTGTTGTTGTTGTTGTTGTTGTTGTTGTTGTTGGTGTTGTGGTTGTGGTTGTGGTTGTGGTTGTTGTTGTTGTTGTTGTTGTTGTTGTTGTTGTTGTTGTTGTTGTTGTTGTTGTTGTTGTTGTTGTTGTTGTTGTTGTTGTTGATGATGTTGATGATGATGATGATGATGATGATGATGATGATGATGATGATGATGATGGTGCTGCTGTCGCTGTAGTTGATGATGCCGATGGTGATGATGAAGATGCTGCTGCTGACGATGATGAGGAGGAAGAGGAGGAGGAGGAGCAGCAGGAGGAGGAGGAGAAGGAGGCGGAGGAGGAGGACGAGGCGGGCAGAGGAGGGGAGGAGGAGGAGGAGGAGGAGGAGGAGGAGGAGAAGGAGAAGGAGGAGGAGGACGAGAGGCAGCAGGAGGAGGAGGAGGAGGAGGAGGAGGAGGAGGAGGAGGAGGAGGAGGAGGAGAGGCAGCAGGAGGAGGAGGAGAAGGAGGAGGAGGAGGAGAGGAGGAGGAGGAGGACGAGGAGGAGAAGGAGGAGGAGCCCGAGGCCGAGGCCAGTCCTGCCCATCCCCACTGGGCGGCCTCTCCTTCTGTGCGCGCCTCCGCCTCGGCAGGATCTCGAGGAGAAGGCGTCCAAGCAGGGAGCCGCCGCCGTCGTCCAGTGGGCCAAAGACCCGGCCGGCACCCGCCACGCTCTTTGGCGGGTGACGAGAATCAGGGGCGACGTCAGGATGGGATAGGCTCAGGGGCAACGTCACGTTTTCGTGGGTTCCGGGCGGCTTTCCAGCCTCGGGATGCGTTCAAGCGGCTGCGCCTCGCCGAGAGCTTTCCAGGAGTGCCTGAGTCGTCCCGAACGGCCGCCGGGGAGCGGAGTGATGATCCGAAAACCAGACGACGAGGACCACTGGAGGGGATAGGCTCAGAGGTGGATACATCGATCCACAATCACCCATTGATCGCCGATGGAGGGCCCAATTGCCCACCCCGCCCAGGAGCGTGCGGATTCGCAATCGGGGGCCCATCGCCGATCGATCGGCGATGCATCGCCGCTTCCAAAGTCGATGCTCCCCCGCCTGAGCCAGCCCCCCCCTGACGTTCCTCCTCAGCTACAGTCGGACCGAGGTATGAGATCGAGGTCGGCTCGGGGACTGTACCCCAGTGTTTTTCGTTTTTGCTTGATGTTCTTGGGCATCCTGGGGAGGGTACCATTGGATCTTCTGTTTGTTTTGGCCGACGAAGGGCCGCATTTTCTTGAAGGTTGTTCTTCTGGCCTAGGTCCGACTGTAAGTCCACTCGGGCCAATTCCAGTTGGACCAGGTCCAGATGGAGGCCAGGGCCTTCACCTGGTGGAGCTCCAGCTGGCCTGAGCCTGCTCTTGGGTAGCGCTGAGTCCAGGTGGGCCAGGTCCAAATGGAGCCGCAAGGGACTCCGTCTGCTGGGCCTCCAGCTGGACTTGGCCCGTCCCGACCTTAGCCCCCTCCTCATCCTCATCCTCCTCTTCCTCCTCCTCCTCCTCCTCCTCCTCCTCCTCCTCTTCCTCCTCCTCCTCCTCCTCCTCCTCATCCTCGTCCTCATTCACATCCTCACCATCAGCCCTTCTGGCGCAGGCTGGCTCCAGCTCGCTGGCCCCGCGCGGCGGGCGGCCGGTGCGACCACGGCGGCGCGGGTGAGGGCGAAGCCTCTCTCCGCCCGAGGCGCTCTGGTCAGGGACGCAGAGCTTCTCTGGCGTGGGCGCGCGGGCGCGCGGGCCGTGTGCCGCGGCTCGGCGTGCAGACGAGCCCGAGAGGGTCGGCCAGGAGGAGGAGGAGGAGGAGGCGGAGGAGGAGGAATGATAACAATGAGAAAACAATTAGTATTACGAGCAATTATGTTAATAATAAGACGAATGAGAAGAGTATTACGACAACTGATAAGAATACTAATCATACTACTACGGATAAGAAAAAGACGACTACTATTAATCATAAGACGACCAAACATACCAATACTACTACTAAGAATAATAACACTAGCAATACCAATTATTGATACTAATACTAAGAGTAATAACACTACTAAGACTCATACTACTAATAATACGATAAATTATAGTGCTACTAAGACGAGTGATAATACTATCAACCATACTATTCATAACCATGATAAGACTAATACTGCTAAAAATAATAAGACGAATGCGAAGACGAATATTATGACTAATAAGAGCAAGAGGGAGGAGGAGGAGGAGGAGGAGGAGGAGGAGGTCCGTAGCCATTTTGGCTCAAGTTAAAACCGCGGCGCCCTGGCGGCTTTAGCTTGATCGCAGGCGAGGGGCTGGCTCGAGTCCCGCAGCCTTCCCCCCACGATCCTCACAGGAGCCGCCTGGCGCTGTGAGCACTTTTCGGCATCTGACTGTGTGGCATGGCCCATGCCATGCCGAGCAGCCCCGAGGCTCGACGGCTGGCAGAGGAGCTCGACGCCATGGCCACGTTCCCGTCCCAGGAGGCTGGAGCAACAGGCGGCAGTACGAGCCCACCGAGCAAGACGGCCCGTCTTGCCGAAGATCCTCTTGAAGCTGTTGCTAATCTGCGCGCTGTGGTTGATTCCACTCGTGGAGAGATGCTCGGAGCCGTCGCCAAGCTGCACGCCAGTGTCACGCAGTTCAGCACCACCATCTCTGCCAACTGCGACGCCATCACCAAGCGGGTGGAGATGCGCTACGCGGAGCTGCAGGCCGAGCAGAAGAGCACCAACAACCGTGTCACGACCCTGGAGCGGCGGGTTTCCCAGCTGCAGGAGCTATTGCAGTGCATCAAGAATGAAGAGCCGCAGACCGTGGTCACCGACACGTCCTTCAACAGGATGGTCGACCCGTGTATCATCGTCGCCAGGACGAAGAATGTATGCAGTCGTGGTGCCGTTCAAGAAGCTCTGGCCGACTGGTTGGCTCGTGCCCAGCTTGCGCCAGAGGACTATGACTACCAATCGGACCCCGCTGGAAAGAGGTTCGTCTTCCGCGTCAAGGGGAATGCCACCTACGCCGCCAGGAAGGTGGGCCAGGCGATGGGAGCACTACGAATCGGAAATGGGCAGTGGGAACATCACGCGTGCAAAGACATGCTTGGTGCAAAGTGTGAAATATTCGTCAGCACGGATAAGAACCCCGCCATGGTCAAGAAGGAACTCGGCCTCAAGCAATTGCGGAAGGCCTTCCAAGAGGTCGACGGCAACCTGCGCCTTTTCTCCGACAAGGCGAAAGGCGAGCTGTCTGCGAACTGGAAGCCTCTGGTACGTTTCACGCCCAAGCCAGGAGACGAGGAACCCATCCTCGAATGGTGTATGCCCAACATGCTCGCCCTGGGGCTGGACAAAGATCTGGTGCTCCAGCGCTTCCATGCATCAGGGCATGTCGCTGCACCCCCTCAGTGGTCTCTTTAGCGGGCTCCAGCGCCATTGGCGCGACGAGAGAGGCATGGCCTTGCCTTTGATACTATCCTCCTGGAATGCCCGAGCCCTCTTCCATCACGATCTCCCCATCCAAGAACGGAAAGCCCATCTCCTCCGACAACTCTTTCTTCCAGGCAGTATCATAGGGGTGCAAGAGTGCCATGGTAGTGAGTTACAAGTCCAAGACCTTCTGTATCAGCATAATCTGCATCACAGATATACCGCATTTAGTTCGTTCTGTTCAAGTTCCAATGCCGGAGGTGTTACGACCTTTGTGCCGAAATTCATGCATCTTGGCTCCGAGGCCCCTCTGATTCTCCCAGAAGTTCAGGTCCCAGGTCGAGTTCTCAGAGTTGCGATTGATTTTGGGGATTTCGCTGTCATTCATTACAATGTTCACAACTACCAGTTAGGATCTGTAGCTAAGAAGAAGGCCTTGGATTCAATTAAGTACGACCTCGGGGTCGCAGAGGCGGACCCTTCTGCGCTGCTTGTCATCATTTCAGGTGATTTCAACTTCGCATGCACGCCGCCACGTAAGGAACCTGAGGCGGAGGTAGATGAGCAGACGCTTCGGTATCTTCAGGAGTGGAGGAGTACGCAGGACTATGGATGGATGGAGGTATTGAGGAGGATGGTGGAATTAGAAGTGCCAGAACCTACCCATCATTACCAGCCGACGCGGATGCTCAGCTACATAGATCGGCAGTTTATTTCGATGCCTGGGTGGATGCTCCTGCAGATGTCCGTCGAGGGGAAGGTAGTTGAATGCCCCGACATGCTCAGCAAGAAAGGGATATCCGACCACGCCCCGATCCAGGTCACCCTCAAACCTGCTGGACCTATCCCGGCCTCTGAGAGGCCAGTCGCCCCCGAAGTTTGCGAACATCCCGACTACGTTCGGTTCCTGGAAGCGGTAGAGGCTGAGTGTGACCAGAGCAGGATGACACCACCCTTGAGGCTAGCATTTCAGACAGAGATGATGCGTGAGGCCGCCAAGATCGCTCGGGACTCCCTGATTCGGAAATCACCATCATCGAGTTTTACCCAGCTCCTGGTCATCAAAAGTATCGGGCGATGCCTCTGGAGGCAAGATGTGCGTCTAGCACACCGTGTTTGGCGATCTCACGCTCTAGGTAAGGAGTTTCTACAGATCAACCTGCTGGAGGGGACAGTGGAGTTGATCAACCCGCCAGAGTTCCAGAGGCGAGCCAATGAGATTCACCTCACTATTGCCAAACAACGAGAAGCTAAACACAAACAAGACATTGCGAATGCCAGTGCAGAGCCCGCCAGAGCGAAAGCCAGGCGACGGCTAAAGTGCACGCATCGCAGGAGCCGCCTCTGGACGCCTTTCGATCGCAGAATGACTTTGCAAGGAGTACGCGCTTCCGATGGGGAGTCGGTTGTCTCGTCGCCAGCTGCCGTCCTCCAAGAGCTTGGGGATCATTGGCGACCCGTGTTCGCAGAAAAGTCCATCAATGTTTCAGCTGCCCAATCTTATCTTCGTCAACATTGTGATGATATTGATCTTTCAGACCTTCCCCCTCCATCCTTGCATGCGCTTCAACGGCGTATCGAACGTGCGGAAGATAGTTCCCCTGGGTTGGATGGCCTCCCCTATCGAGCTTGGAAACGACATCCACACGGTCTTAACATTCTAGATGAGGTGGTCTGGTGGTTATTAAGTGGGAGGAGCATGTTACCAGCATTCAATGATGTACGAGGAGTTTTCATAGCCAAAGGAGATGAGGAGCAGGATTCCCATATGATCGTTCGGAACGCTGAAGCTACCCGGCCTCTAGGACTAAAACAATCGTCGAACAAGCTGGTCACGGGCGTCGTTTTCGAGAGTTTATCCCGTCGACTGGGTGATAAAGTCCATTATTCTCAAAGGGGATTCGTCGGAGGGAGGAATTTTGGTCTAAATATTCTCGAGCTCGACGTGCGAGCCCGAATGGTTTCGATGCTCCCCGATGCCGCTGCTCGGCTTCCAGCTTTGATATCTTTCGATTATGGACAGGCCTTCCCGTCGGTCGCGCACCGATGGATCATGATGACGCTTGCTGCCTTCCATGTGCCGCTGCCCATGCAGATCTTCGTAGAGACGTTGTACACGAACGTGCGCTGCTTTGGCACATTCGGCAGAGTATGCAGTTTCTTGTTCTACATCATGTCGGGGATCATTCAAGGATGCCCAGGGTCCGGCGCCCTGTTCGCCGTCGGGAGCCACCCCTTTCTCGTGGACATGTGGAAACGGCTGGAAGCTCAGAATGATGTGCCACCTGGCGAGCTGCGAGAAGATCTCACAGGT